GTTATCACAATTGTCTACAAAGGTGTCAATCTAAATGTTTGATATCTTGGACTATCTTCAAGTCGAAATCAAAAAAAATGTCAACACACTAAAAGAAAGTATGATGAAAAATATTAAATTTATCGAAAATAACGAAAATACAGTTGATGATGATCTGGGCAATGTTGAATCATCAACAGATGACAGCAACAATGGAAATTTTATTAGAACATGAAAAAAAATTTTTTTGGTTGTAAATTTGGTTTTATTAAATAAATTTGTTTGTTTTTTCATACATTGTTCATTTTTCGTCACAATCATGTATCTTAAATTTGTTGTGTTTACAATCATTTCATTGCCATTCGTTATATTAAGGTTATTTTGATTATATTGAGAGATATGGTCAAGAGAAGAGTTAGGATGAGAGTTATTATCCGACCAAGTCAAAAACCAACCCTTTAAACACATTTTCGAGTAGTACGATTTAATTTATTAGACTATTTCAATGATTGCTTCCAACTTCTTAAATTCGTTAATGAAACAATTGTTGGTGAAGTGATTGTTGACAAAATGAATCAAACCCATATTTATTTCTACGTTTATCAAATTCGCGATTTTAATTGGTCAATCAACAAATAGCATGGGTTAAAATTTTGTGCTCCCTCCTGTTAATTTTTGTGTTCCCAGAACGGTCTCCTGTTTTTCTACAAAAATCCAGAACTGTTCAAACTACATTATCAACCTTTGGGATCAACCAAAGTTTCGTATATAAATAAAAAGTGCTATTCCTGTAGACAAAAAGAACACATAAAGAAGAACTGTCAGTTACAAGGATTGGTTGAAGAAGAAGAAATTGAATTCGTCTTCCAACAAAATCCTTTGTGCAAAGTCTGTAAAAATAAAGGACATTGGGAAGAAGACTGTCCAAGATTAATTAAGCAGGAGAGAGTTTTTGAACAACCAGAAGTTCTTTTCGAAGATATACCTGACGAACCACCATATGATTTTGATCCTTACGAGGATTAATGGAATGAACATAGACCCAAGCGAAGAAACAATCCAAATCATCCAGGAAAACTCAAGGATCCATAACCAAGTACATCAACAATACCCATACATAAGGGATATATCACAAGCACATAAAGATATATCTTGTTCCATTTGTCAACCTATCAATCGGGATTTCTCACCACAATTACTAATCTTTTGGGATTGGATACAAGAAACACATCAAGCAATATAGTGCACTTCAGAAACTGTAACCACCTTCAAACAAATATTATTAGAACAAGGACCAGTTCAACTAATACACCTTGTCAGAATATTATTAATTAGTATTAGATATAGAGTATACCCAAGAAGTTTAAATACAATAGTCCAGGATTACTTTTTAGCAGCTAGAGGGATTCACCATTTTAGTATAGCATTAGACGAAGTACCTCAAAGTTCTCCGGAACCCATAACAGAAGAAGAAGATAACCCTAGTGAAAGTAGTGACTCAACAGTAGTTAGTGATTCGGAAAGTGACTCAGACAGTGACGAATCAACACTTGGTCTCGACCAACTTTTTAATCAAGTAAATAAACCTAATCACCAACAACAAAATCTAAACCAAATGGATCCAGCAGCTTTACAAAACTTGGGAGCTGCAATAACTCAAGCGGTAAATGCAATAGTGCCACCACAACCTGCTGTGACTGAATTGAATAATGTTAAGTACCCAGAATACTATGGAGGAGATTAAGACCCAATCACATGGTTGGAAGAAATGGAACAAGCCTTTGTAACGAATAGAGTAGCAGATGATAGAAGACTAGCAGTAACAGTATCAAGATTAAAAGGAGGAGCTGCTACATGGTGGACTCAAGTTAGAGGAAATATAAACCGGTGGGATGATAACACTAATGCTAATACAATTGCAGCAAGCTTTGTTCTGAATTTTCAAACAAGGTACAGAACTAGAGCCATGGAAGAAGGTTGGGCAGCTGAATTAGAAAAACGAAGACAATTACCTGGAGAGACAGTAGGAGCTTTCGCAGCACACATATACGAATTGTTCAGGAGAATTGAACATGGGGGAAATAATTATCCAGATAGAGTCAAAGCAAGGATGTTCATGGAAAGGTTACGACCAGAATTATCCATAGCAGTAAGTCCATTCTTACCTGACACTATTCAAGAAGCAATTGACAGAGCCAAGGCTTATGAGATGACATATTCTAGAGGAGGAACCTTATCGGCATATTCAGCAGAACAATTCATGCCTAACATTCCAGGAATGAATCAAGGGGTGAACCAACCACTACAAGGGTTAATTGATCAACTGGTTAACCTAATGAAAGCAAATAATAATGTCCAGCAAAGACTAAGGATTCAAAATAGTGAAAACCGTTCGCCGGTAACATGCTACAACTGTAAACAACAAGGACACATAAAACCTAATTGTCCACAACTCTCTAATAGTAATAACAACAACAATAATGGCAATAGTAACAATGGTGGAAACATAGGAGTCAGATGTCATCGTTGTCAAGAATTAGGACACTACAGTAAAGACTGTCCACAAAACAATAATGGTAATAATGGAGGAAACAATAACAACAACAATGGTAGTCGTATCAATAATAATAGTGGTAACAATAATGCGACCAGAAACAATAATAATAATAGTAGTAATACCAATAATCGGAATACCAATAATAATACTCAGCAGCAATCAATGTTGGCAGACATGATTGTAGGTAATATGGTGAAGTTAATGTTACCTGTAGAAACGAAGAAACTGAAGTAGGAACAGGTGTAGCAATGGATGTACAATCAGATGGAAGTGATTCAAGACGAAGAAAGAAACCTAAACAAAATGATGAAGGATCAAAGGAAGTAAAGAAAAAGGCTTTAAGAAAAACGCCCAGGAAAAAGAGAAACACAGTACAACCTCCAATTTCGAATTTGATACAACCATACTCAGTAGTAACTGACATCAAGAAGCAGAAAGCTGATATTACCTTCGGGCAATTATTCCAAGCAGTACCAAAGTTGAGATCGGAATTGTCTAGGAGTTTACGAACCCCACAAACGAGAAGAGTTAAGAAAACAACACCACAGGCTGAACAATTAAATGCCGAAATAAGATCAACTGCGATGTACTGTAAAGCAAGTATAAATGGAAGAAGCTTTCCTATAATTATAGATAGTAGAGCAGCAGGAAGTATAGTTTCAAAAGGATTGTTAGATAAACTAGGAGTAAAAATTCCGCGAAAATCATCTGTTGTAATCATCAATGTAAATGGACAAAAACTTCACCTTTGGGAGAAGTAGATGACTTACCACTAACCATTGGAGGGATAAGAATTCCATTATCAGCAATCGTAACAGAAGCAAACACTTATAATGCTATCCTGGGGAATGATTGGTTATCCAAAGTAAATGCTGTAGTGAATTGGAGTGATTCGAAATTAACATTCTACTGGGATGATCAAAAAGCAACTGTAGAAGTGGCACATAAGTATGGAGAAGAATTATCATCATCAGAAGAAGATAATGAATCCGATTCGTCGGAATATGAAAGCTCAGATGCAGATGGAGAATTAGAAGTATTCATGTTGGAACAATCCTCCAGAAAAACGTCCCCAATGGTAACAAGAGATGAAGAAGAAACTAAAGAAGAAACTAAAGAAGATACCAATTATGACGATGACGCATACCCAGGAATCGTAGAAGCATACAACTTCACAATGGATAAAGTTGAAAGACCACTTACGACTATGAAGGAGGAGTGGCACATATTTCGAGGAAGACATTACCCATGTGAATGTGGAGAAGAAGACCATCATAATCATTTCCGATGCATATAGTGCAAACAAATATGCAAAGGTTTCCATCAAAGATGTAGATGCAATTGGGAAGAAAAGATACAAGCCTACAATCTAAAGGTAGAACCAGAGGAAATGCCTTTTGGATTGACGAATGCTCCTGGAACCTTTCAGAGATTGATGGATAAAGTCCTCCGGGACATGCTATGGAAATCAGTAGTAGTATACCTTGATGATGTCAACATCTTTTCGAAGACATGGAAGGAACATCTAGAACATCTAGAAAACGTTTTCGAACGTATCCAAAAAGCAGGATTGAAAATCAGCCCACGGAAATGTCAATTTGGAAAAACGGAGTTGAAATTTTTAGGACACATAGTTGGAAAGGATGGAATCAAGATGGATCCAGCGAAGATATAGAAGGTGCAGAACTTTCCTAAACCTATCAACGTCACCCAGGTTAGAAGTTTCTTAGGACTTTGTAATTACTATAGAAAATTCGTAAAAGGATTTGCAAAGAGATCTTCACCTTTAACGGAACTATTGAAGAAAGGAGAAGAGTTCAATTGGACGAATAGACAACAATGAGCTTTTGAAGACTTGATAGAACAACTCACCACTGAACCTATATTAGTATATCCAAACTGGAAGCAACCATTCATCTTATCTACGGATGCATCAACATTTGCTTTAGGAGCAATTCTTTCACAACTAGATAATAAAGGAAATAAAGGAGTAATTGCTTATGCTAGTAGACAACTAAGACCGGCAGAGAAGAACTATACAGCAACAGAATTGGAATGCCTCGGCATTATATGGGCTATAAAACATTTTCATACATACCTTAGTGGATCCAAGTTTAAATTAATTACGGATCATG